AAGTCGAACATAGCCAAATGAAATATATATATATATATATATATATATATATATATATAAAATATTGCATGTAACAATATAAAAAATTTTCTTCTAGGAACAACTTGCGCAAAGCATGTTTGATCACATTCCAGTTGGTGTTGGATCTAAAGGAATTATACCAATGAATGCACGAGATTTAGAGGAGGCATTAGAAATGGGAATGGATTGGTCTTTGAGGGAAGGTGAGAGAAAAAATATTACAATGAAATTAAATAATATTAAACAAATTACTGATACAAAATATCATTAGGTTACATTTGGGCTGAAGATAAGGAACACTGCGAAGAATATGGAAGAATGCTTAATGCTGATCCATCAAAAGTATCAATGAGAGCTAAGAAACGTGGACTTCCTCAAGTATTGTATTTAACAGATACTTAAAAGATTATATTGTTTTTGAATATGTGTATATATATTACAATTATATCTTATGTTAGTTAGGTACATTAGGAGCTGGAAATCATTATGCAGAGATTCAGGTGGTAGATGAAATATATGATAAGTGGGCTGCATGTAAAATGGGTATCGAAGAAAAAGGCCAAATTTGTGTTATGATTCATTCAGGAAGCAGAGGATTTGGTCATCAAGTTGCTACAGGTTATTTTTTTACTTTTTCTATTAATTTATTTCTAGTTATATAAATTGCACATTTCTCGTTTCATATTATATAAAAGACTTGATATTTAGGAACTATCGCAAAAATTATATTATATTTTGTACATAGTAAAATAACATTTCAGATGCACTTGTGCAAATGGAAAAGGCTATGAAGCGAGATAACATAGAAACCAATGATAGGCAGCTAGCATGTGCTCATATTAAATCTCAAGAAGGCCAAGATTACTTAAAGGCGATGGCAGCTGCTGCTAATTTTGCTTGGGTTAACAGGAGTTCTATGACATTTCTTACTCGACAGGTACCAAAAAGATATCTATATGAAAATATTATCTAATAAAGAATTGCGAAATAGTATATAGTATGTTGTTTACAGGCATTTGCAAAACAATTCAACTCATCTCCTGATGACTTAGATATGCATGTTATTTATGATGTTTCTCACAATATTGCCAAAATAGAAGAACATATGGTTGATGGAAAACAAAAGACACTTTTAGTTCATAGAAAGGTAAATAATTATATAGTTACAATTGAATGATGACTTAATTTTGGTGCAGATGCAACAATAATGTAAACTGTTAAAATATAACATGATACTAATTTGTTGTTATATACTTGATAAATAAATATTCTGCTTGAAGGGATCAACAAGAGCGTTTCCACCACATCATCCTTTGATTCCTGTGGATTATCAGTTGACAGGCCAACCAGTTTTAATTGGTGGTACTATGGGGACCTGTAGTTACGTTCTAACTGGTACAGAACAGGGTATGAAAGAAACATTTGGATCAACGTGTCATGGTGCTGTAAGTACACACAGATTATATATCAATTTTTATTATGTTATTTTTATTAATCTGATTTTAATTTTATAAATATATATTATAGAAAACAATAATATGTGTGAAAAAACTGTTTTTATACAAAAAATATATATATTTTTACAGGGTCGTGCTCTTTCAAGAGCAAAATCACGTAGAAATTTAGATTATAAGCAAGTTCTGGAAAAATTGGAAGAGTTAGGCATATCGATTCGAGTTGCTTCACCGAAATTGGTTATGGAAGAAGCGCCGGAATCCTATAAAAATGTAACAGACGTTGTTAATACTTGCCACACAGCTGGAATCTCCAAGAAATGCATTAAGCTTCGACCAATTGCAGTCATTAAAGGATAATACACAAGAGAAAATATATTTTGATTGCTCTTTGGTCGATGACCAAATATTGCAGATATGTTTGCCAAGTGATATTTATTAAAGTTACGCGCGAATATATTAGGTAATTAATCTCACATTTTTTTTGCATGAAAATATTTGTATAATATTACATTTTTTGTATTAATTGTACAAAATACTATATTGTCACGCGGTAAAGTCATATAAACGTTAACATCACATTCTCTTTTTTTATCTGAAATAATATGGCTACACATACACATAATAATGTAGATTTACTGTGTAAAATGTATATCTAATGATCATTAAGATACATCTTTTTTATATATGGGTTACGAACGCAAAAAATTGTAATGAAATAAACCCAACATCACATTTATATAAATTATTGCATGTCATATATTTGTCATATAATAAGGTGGAAATAAAAGTATCATTAAAATTTTTAAAAATATTTCGTTAGCTTTTATTAGATAAAATGTACAATTATATCTATTTTCGCGATAAGAAAGCTATATTAGACTAATTCGTTGACTTTACACAGTAATTAAATTCGCAGTATTACATTAAACAAATCCTCCACGGACTAGAGAGAATAATACAGGAAAGATATATGAAGAAGAAAGGGGGAATAAGTTTTTTTTTTTTTAAATTGCAAATAGATAATGGAAGCAAACCATCACCATAAATAGTATATAAAATGTATATAAAATGACTCTATATAACAGTGATCTATTGTTTGAACCCTTAAAAAGAGAATATAAAGAGATGAAATAATAGTCTTTGGAGGAGTTGTATATAGAAATACAAAACCGACCAATAGGACGAATGGTCTGAGATGCATTCCATGAGGAGAAAGAGAAAATATTATAGAATTTATATTATTTATATAAAATATTAATTACTCTAAGAGACTTTTCTTATGATAAGTGATAATCAGGAGATGGTTCAGCTACAGATTCAGTAGTGAACAAGGGATTTGGGAACTCTGGTGGGTGTGGCAGTGGTCCAGCAGTCTTTGGCTGACGTCGATACGCCATAAGCCAGCATGACACAGCGATAGCTACGGCAACCAGTGCCAAAAGCGCCGTAATTATCAACGCTATGATAAAGCCGACCATAGAAACACAGATATCTTCTACTCTTTGTGCTGAAGGAGCTGAAAAAGATGGCAAAAAGGAAAGAAAACGATATTACTTCATTCTAATGCTATGCATCTAATCGTTGTAAATTCTCTACATATTTTGTACGCATTACCTTCAGCTGGATCTGCTGTATACCTCTCCTCTCTCCTTTCCAGAGTGAATATCAAATTTGATTGAATAGTTATCTCTTCACGAAGTTGACCTTCGAATCCATCGGATATACTTAAAGACGTGTCATTGATTTCGGAATCAACGTCTCTACGACGACGGCCGAAGGCGTTGTAACCGCGACAGTTCACCTACATTGGATGGAAAAGAGATCGATTTTTCATTATTTGGATATTGTTTTCCAGCTCGTACACTTGAAATGATGACTTGCAATTGAATTATAAATTCGCGAGTGCGAATACTTACAGGCTGACAACGTCCAAAGCACACGCGTATATTGCACTGGAATCTTATATTGTCGCTACTGGGAAACTTGAATGCGTTAAAACTAGCCATTAATGATTGAGTATCAGGATTTTGCTCCCACTCGCCGAATATCGTAGGATCCGTCGCGCAACCGTTCTCATCCGTTACGATGTACTCGTTCTCCAAATTATCCTCCATAGTTTTAGCGACACAATTTCGCGCAAATCCACCATAAATAGCTGCAATATTGTCCCATATATATTCATATTTTATCAAATAGCAAGAATAGAAAGTACTGAATGTAATAATAATAATGTGAAAGTCACGCATATATATTATTAAATATGAAATTCGATACTCACTTGAAGGTTGAACTTCTACTTGAAGCATTAGATTGTCTCCAATCTCGGCCGAATTAATTTCATTTCCATTCTGCGCGACTATTTTCATTATACATATAGGTGGTGGACCAGTGTTAGCGATTGTTCCAGCAGTCGTCAACATGGACACGTTGAAGCCAAGGGTAACGTTTTGTTCTCCAGTCTGGTATATACATTTGATATGATAGGCCTGTGCTTTGTAAGTCATCAACTTGGGATGTTTCTGTATGACGAGTACGAAGCTAGCTTGTCCCTAGAAGATAAATATAAATATAATTATAGAAAACATTTTTCAATGCAGCAAACAATTATTATATAATACTGGTCAACTAACATTCACGTGTATAAGTCCGCAATTGCCAAACGCAACTTTGAACGTTTCCGTCTTATGTTCAGTTTCGGCTGGTATCGAGACAACTCGTCTGCACTGTTCGTCTTTGCTGCGTCCTTTAACATACAATACCCCATCGAAATCTTGATCTTGCAAATGTATTACGACTTGTACTCCATCCGACAGGCAGCTTACATCCATTTCCGGCCTAGGGAAATCTGTTCGGCCGTCCTTTCTATCGTCTGAAAAGGAGATGTGCGTTAAAATGATTTTCCAGATAAACATTATCACACTGACTAATTCGTCATTATTTATGGCAAAAATGCTATGCTCGAGAAAAAAAGTATCAAAAAATTTATACATATATCAAATTTTGTAAATATTTTTGTAGATTAATGACCAAAATCATGTTTTCTTTTTCATAAATTCTTTACTTACAGCATTGTGTATATGGATTGCCTAAATAACCATTGATGCAGACGCATATAGCTTGATGTCTAGTGGCATTGCAAAGTGCATGTACGCCGCATTGTTGTTTTTTGCAGGGATCTTGGCAGGTTCGGGTAGTTTTATCGCAATATCTGTCATCGGCGCAATCATCGTTACGAGTGCACTCTATTATTTCAACTGAAATTTATCACAATGCATATTAATTATAGACGATATAGAGAACATTTCTCGATCAATATTTGTTTCAAAAAAATATAAACAACTAATTCTTACTCTGTCTGCAGTATCCACTGGCATCTATTCTATATCCGTACCGCGTCGGACACTCGCAACGACCATTTTCGTCTATGCTGAAACCCTTTTCCAGATCGCATACGCAATAGCCTTCTTCGTTTATCACCATGTTAGACTGTTTGCAAGGTATGCACTCATCGTTCTCATCTTTACCGAAACCAAACGAGCAGACGCAGTTGCCGTACTCATCGCGAATCTGACCTCTCGGACATAAGTTCGCTAAATAGGACGATTCGGAATTAATATCATGTTTTGAATATTAGTTTATAATTTAATATGTGTATGTTTTTAGCAATTTTTGATAATTACACAACGGATCACAGCGAACAACTGCATTTCCGCGGTATCCTGGGAGACATTCGCATATCATGGTCCTAATTGGGCTGGTGTCCAGGACTTTGCATTCGGCGTTAATGCCGCAGGGTTTAATCTCAGTACATGGATTGATGCATTGTCCATTGAAGCACGCGGTCTGAGACGGGCATTCATTATCCGCTTTGCATTTTTCTTTGACTGGCAAAAGGAGCGAGAAATTAAAATCAGAATACCAATCTTCTATTTATAAAAAAATAAAAATTTCTTTTCTTTACCTCTAGCACATCCTGATTTAACATCGCCGACGTAGCCGGGCGGACATGCGCATTCCACAACGTGATTGTAAACGTTACAATCCATGTTGCCGGTGCATGGATTTTGCGTGCAAGGATTTTCGCAACGATTATTGATGCAGGCTCTGTTCGTCGGACAGTCCGAATTGCTTTTGCATCCTAGCAGCACGCAGGAAACCCTCGGATTGCCGCCGAAACCAGGTGGACACTCGCAGATGGTCTTATGATTTATACCATGACATATTGCGTTCTTACCGCAGGAGGATGGCGAACACGTCGGCACGCAGTTGCGTTGGACACACGCGTGCGAACCGCTACAATCGTCATCCGTTCTACATCCTGCAACTGAATTTCAAAAGCATATTGTACAATAAACATCGACACGTAAATTCTACTCAAATTTTATCGACGTGAAGAAAAAATTCATGGTTTTTTTTTTTAAATAAACGGGAATATCTACCTTTCGTGCAGGCAATATCCGGATTTCCGTCATATCCCAGCGTACACGAACATATCGGTTTGTGATTGATGACATTGCAAACAGCGTTAGGTCCACACGCGCAAGGATCTCGGCATACCGCGTTGACGCAGGATCGTTCCGTTGAACAGTCATCGTCCTTGGTGCACTCGATCTTAAGGATCGGCTTGGTAGCCTGGCAGGTACCGCTGCCGCTGCTGACATATCCGTTGGGGCACACGCATACCATAGTGCGTATCGGGTACGTCGGCAGGACCTGACATTCGGATGGCTCCGAGCACGGCTGTATGACCGAGCACGGATCCTGACACTTGTCGCTGAGACAGGCAAGCCTGTCTGGACAGTCACTGTCTTCCCTACACTCGGGTCTTACTTCTGGTTGGCAATTGA